AGTATACCTGTATCTTGTTCCATCAGGTTCAGAGCCTCAATGGCAGCAGCAGCCAACATGGGTGGTAGAGAGGCAGAGAAGCAATAGCCCTGACCTGACAGCCTCTGGAAACGGATCACAGTTTTGATAACAGTTGCTCTGCATCAAGGCTTTCATTTGAGAGCCGTTCAGTCATCATTTGGGAGGCAGAGATAAGCCTTATAAGACGGCCTATATTTTCAAAGACGACTGAACAGCTTTCAAAATTTTTGTGTTGGTTGGTTGAACTCCATTACAGACCAAATTACAGATTCACATTTTGAACACCCTGTATCCCAAACCCTGGGGTAACCCTGCAGCTGTGATTGTAACATATATTGGAAATGAACGCTGTCCATGCACACTACATGTGGAATCAAGTTGAGTTTTCAGCAATGATGATTTCACAGGAAGGGTGCTGACAGAGGCAATCCACAACAGAAAGATAACCAGCAGCCTAATGATGCTATCCCCCCTCCCCCCCCACCCCAGCCCACAGCGAATGGCACCCTGCTGTCATGTGATAGCAGTCACATATATTTATTGTTGTCTTAACCTGATGATCAACATTTTTACTGCCACTATTGTTATTTCAAGTGTCCTATATTCATAGTTGATATATTTTATTTAGCTGTCTTTACCTGATGATCAATAACAAATGACCTTCCACAACAGAACCCTCCAATGGAGCCCACAGCATTCTCCAGTGTGGCACACACCATGTCAATATCATCTATCTGAAATAGCAAAGATTAAAAGTTTGCCATATGAAACAAAATATTAGAGGGCATTTACAACAGAGGATTCTGAACTATACTGATCTGCGGATAAAATATGGCTGACCCTACATGAAAGCAAACCCGACTAATCTGTTGAGTCTCCCCCCTTCCCATGCGCAATTAAATGTATTAAATCATGGCTCCTAGGTTCAGTTGCTAGATCCCTGCCAGGACAGTGCGTGTGGAGGCAGGGAGACCATCAGCGGATAAGTTGGCTCTGCTTTCATGTAGGATTCACTGTATTAGATCTGCAGATCAGTAGATTTGAGGATCATCTGATGGGAATGTCCCCTTAGAGCTGAAATGAAAAATCACTTAAACTGTTGATAAGATCTGGAAAAAGTAAAATACATTTATGAAATAAAAAACTTTATGTCAAAACACAGACAAGGACCTTGGTTTTCAAAACATTTATCATGGACAAAACACTTAATCAGCTGGGGATCCAGGGTTGCCTTAAATCCCCTAAAAACTGAATTTAAAATCAAATCCGGTTATCTTTCATTCCTAAATATCACTCCATTCAGCCGCATGTTCATCCGTTTATTGTTTTTATGGTGAAAAATGCATTTGGCAGTTTGGTAACAGGACCACTTTTTAAAACTTAGGGAACATTTTCATAAACCCTAGCTTCCCTTTACTGGATCGATCTAACTCTGCAGGGATTCTGGGTAATTGCATTCAGTGAAAGCAGCTTAAATATCTGGCACACCTACTCAAGCTGTTAGGGGGTAATAAACAACAGATACTCAAGGGGATGTGTGAGACAATTAAGCAGATTACATTGAAAGCAATTTGGTGAGAAGCCAAACAGAGTTAGATCGATCTAGCTAATACAATGGGTTTGTGGGAGCACAGTTTTACTTCTTGTTGTAATGTGCAGAAATGCTCAGTAAGATCCGTTCGCTTTGCATATTTGAAATATTTACACGACATAATCTTAGTCAAGGTATCATATGCCACCATTTTTGCTATTTTGACTAGACAAAAGCAGGGTTTTGAGTATTATTGAATTGTTCCTCTTCATGCAGACATGAAAACATTGCGTTTTATTTACTCTTTTCACAAAAAACTCAAGTCAATGATAAAATAACACCTGGTTTGTATGACCTCAATCTATTCAATACCAAAATGACAAAGATGCATTCAGTAGCAGAATTTGATATATACTCAGAACAAGGTAAACAGAAGCCAGCAGCTTAGGGTGTATTCCCAGAGATTTAGATCGATCCAGGGATTAAGATTTAGATTGACCTAACTCCCTGGGGGTTAACGCTAAATTGCAGTCAGCCAAACGCGCACCTTAGTTAATTACCCCCTTACAGCTTTCAGTAGGCGGGACAGACGCTCAAGCCGGCTAAGCTGATTGTAATCTAGTGAGACTCCCCACAGGGATAGATCGATCTAAAATCTATGGAAATGGGGTCTTACAGACATTGAAAACAAAATGGGGTAAGATCTTTTAAAAACTATTATACTTGAGAAGATATCTAAGTTAACACGCATGTCATTGATACACAGCAGCATACTTATGAAACAGGCCAAGAATATGAGAGTTTAGAGAGATTATTAGACACACAGTTGAGAAAATATGTACAAAAATTTCCAGGTCTATTTTTGGATCAACAATGTGTGTCAATATTCAATAGTTTGCCATCCGGGCACTTTGGTTGACGTGGAGACTTCATAAGAAAAAACATGGCAGATTTCACTGATTTCTATGTTAAAATTGTCAGACTATCTCAAACTGGGTTGATCGCCTGTCAGGGAAGGTGAGTCATGTAACTGAATGATATCCTATACTGTTTTTTTGTAATAAGTTGCCATGCACCTGGTTAAAAGATAAAGATTTCATGTTAAAGAAAAAGGGGGGAGGGGGGGTCGGACAAGTCAGGATATTTTAAAGGGTACAATTTTTCTCCGTGTCAGTCACACAAGCACGAAAGTAAAATGGTAAAAGCTTGTCCTATGGGTATGTCCATGAAACTCAGGAGTTTCTTTATTGTGTATAAATGCTCCACATAGTTCAGCTCTCTAAATATGATATATATTATATTATATATATCATCTAGTAAATGGCTCATCCCAAACCCTCATCCCCTCCATGAGTGAAGGTTTGGGAGAGCTATCCAATAAAAATTTAAAATTTTGAAGCAAAATAGTTGACTTTGGTAACATATCACCTAGGAAAACTGAAGTATTTATCTGCTTCAGATAACCTGTTTTTAATGACTAAGAAAAGTCTGATAAATTAAAACTAAATAGTAAAGGTGGCAAATATACAGACACCATATACCAGAAACAAGGCAGCAAAGCTGACAAATGTTCAGACATTACACAGAAAAAAGTGCACCAAATAATGTATTGGTCAATTTTAATGAAAGTTACATAATGCTTTCAAGCAGTATAATCACTCTTACCCTCTTACAATATGTACCACAGGTAACATGGACACTGAAAAACTAGTGATTCAGTTCCATGAGATGTAAAAGATATTGAAAATGTTAATGAGTGAAAAATACAAAAAGTCACAAAAAAAAAACAAATAAAGACCATAAATGTAAACCGATCATGCTGATTTTCAAAAGTAACCTGCCTCTTTACCAAACAAAGCCACTAAGAGAATTTAAAGTTAAACAAAAGTAGGGTTGGGAAGTCATGGGGTGAATGTCAAGTGTCCGACAGTGACAGCGACATAAACAGGGAAGACATGGACAGACCAGTCAAAAAAAAAAACAGACATTAACAGCATCTGTATATCAATCAAATGATATTTATGGGAATACTTCATTTTTATTCATTTTTTGTTTCCAAGCTAGCTGAAAAGACCTCTGCCTGTTCATATTATTGCTTCTTTTCTGTTTATTATTATTATTAATATTATCATTATTATTTTTTTAATAATTGAGGCGATAGGTCTTTTTGGCCTCCTTTTCCACTGCTCGGAGATTTTAAAAAGACGGCAAAAAACATCAAAAAGTTCTTGGGTTTCAAATTATAAATCTTTCGATTGAAATATCCTTTAAAAAAAAAATTCTCAATGCACATAACACTTTATTTGGTGTAACAAATTAGGATTAGGAACCATTTTATTAGATGTTCCAGATCTTTTAAATCTTCTCTTATATTACTGCTCTTTTTCACATTTTTCATCAACCATGTTGTCTCGAACCTGGAAGGAATGCCTGAGCACGCATATGCATGATTCAAAATACCCTGAGAGCAATCTCTTTCATGAATGTTCGCCACTGTGTTTGAACTGTTTGCCACTGTGTTTGAACTCACTTGTTTTAAATATCTATATCAAAAGACATTTAAGGATACCAATAACATCACATAATGAAATAAGAGAGGGATATTGAAAAAATATTAAAGCCTACCAAGAACCTTGCAGGTCGAGAACCTTGCAGGTCGAGTTACCAGTCATAACCTGGCTGGAGAGTGCGATGGTGTGTATTTAACAAGTTTAATTGTTTACGAGCTATAGCATAATTCACTGGCTCAGTATGAATTATTCTGGCATTGGCAGTCGAGCCAAAAGTTAACACTGCAGACAGCGTTATTGTCTACTGGTCACCAATGGATGGCTATCAAAAATAGTAGAAATGTCTAAGCTTTGATCTGATCCAAGAAAAGACCACAGATTCATTTGTTATGAACGCCAGTTTGCTACACATAAAACAAAGCAGACAAGAAACAGACAATAATGAGGCACAAAAAGCGAATGAATAGGGATTGAGCAAAGGGGGGAGAACAATTTACATCAATTTGTAACAATATTTTCTTTCAGGGAGAATAAATATATCTAAAAAAAACTATTTTCTGTGTAATCAATGACTGTGACATACTAATTATTGCTTGGACAAGTAGAGAGAGTAGATTTTTAGAATGTGTAAATTAAGTGTTATGACCATTAGACTCACCCTTCAAGAAATCACGCCTTCAAAAAATAGACGAAAACTGGAAGTACTTGTTTTTGCACTGTTTTTCCTGTCATGCCCATTGTAAACAGCTTGTTGTCAAGTAAAATGAAGCGTCTGATACAAAGCATCAAACATGGCATTCACGTGCTTGCTTGCGATGCGTTCATTACACTTTGTTTACACTGAGAAGTCGAGGTCAGAAATGCGCAATGTTTCTCTGTCTATTTAGGCAGTTTCAATTTTGATTAGTGAACTTTCTTTTATCTGCATGGTCATTTTCTGAACATTTGTATAAACTACGAAATATTTCTCTTTAGAAAATCACCCGGCAGCTTTCCAAGTACAAGTGAGTGATGTCACGACGCACTTCCGGTTTTTGTCGAGATCTTGAAGGGATTAGCATTATGGTTTGCTGCACATTTAAAGTGTTCTATCTAAAAATATAGAAGGGCAAGTCTAGATTTTTTTTCTAAGTTTTGATGTAACTGTTACTTCATGATTTTAAATAAATGTCAAGGTCTTGTTAATAATAATATTAAAATTCAAAAATAGTAGAAATGTCTAAGCTTTGATTTGATCTAGGAAAAGACCACAGATTCATTTGTTATGAACGCCAGTTGGCTACATGTAAAACAAAGCAGCAAAGCTGCTAAATGTACAGACAAAATACAGAAAAAAAAATAATGAGGCACAAAAAAGGTTATTTTGCCAATTTTGATGAATACATAATCCTAAAAAAATAAATAATTTTAACTAGCATAAGATTCTATGGACAAAATACTTAACCAGCTGGGGATTAAGGGCTGCTTTAGGTCCCATAAAATTGAATTAAAAATCATGGCATTCAACATGTAAAAAGTGAATGAACTTAAAAAAACGATTCATTCGGGCTATTTCAGTCCTAAAAATCACTCCAGTAAGTTAAAGGATAATGAGTCACACATTTATCCATTTGTTACTATGAAATCCCCCTTCTAGGATTTGGAAGTATGTTGATTGGTTGGGGTCATGTCTGTTCACATTCCTAGCTCACAA